GTTATCCCTCACTCTCTGGACGCTCCTAAAGCAATGATGTGAAAGTCTAAGGCAGCCTCTACCTAAGAAAATAGAGAAAAACTTTTAAGAAGCAAGTTTTGATGCTTCCTATTCTCTAAAGCATTCAGTTATTTAAATAGCTAACCTCAAAACTAAGCTACTTCAGATTTAATCTCAAGACTGAGCTGCTTAGATTTCTTCTCCAGAGCCAGCTCAGAGATGACCACGGATCTCGGTGAATGGACAAGAGCTGTCCTTTGTCCCACTGCCTCATGTAGGATAGAACCCAGTCACCAATAAATTGAAATGTTACAGTATAAAAATACAAGAGCATTATAATGGCTTTGGTTTTAATATAGAATTACATGCCCCAGGTTTGTAGTACTGCTCAGACCCCTTCTGTTACATAGAGGTTAATAGACAAGTGGCTATTAGTGACTAAATTTGATCTGTAAAATCAGTCTCCTTTTTGGTTAATTGTTTTTGAACTATGTATAAGCCAACTTAATCTCAAAATATTTTGCAAGCTAGAATTTTTAATTACAGAAGCTGCTGTTTTGAATGTAAAATGAGATGTTGACACTAGTATTTTCTTTTCCTTTGTATGCCACAGATGCCTTGTAAGATACAAAGACTTATTGGTATTCCTTACATAGAACTTCATATTTAAAATGCCAGGAAGTTCTGGTATCATATTCTGTATATGAATATTTACTAGGTTAAATTAGTTTCCAGTTGTAAAATTTTTGGTTTATTCTTGTTGGTCTCAGACGTGATGACTCTAATATTTGTGATATAAAGGAAGTCATATAAATATTTCAGTCTTCACTTAATATTTTTGACTGACCATTTAAGAGCTTTTTCTATTTTCTTTATCCATTTGATAATTTTATCAACCTTTGCCTTATGCAGAGTGATCCTGTAAAAAATTTGCTCTGAAAAATAAACTCTGAGATGTTTTGCAACATATATGTTACTGTTGTTGTTGTTAGGTGCTGTTGAGTCGATTCTGACTCATAGTGACCCTATAGGACGAGTAGAACTGTCCCGTAGGGTTTCCAAGGAACGGCTGGTGGACTTGAACTGCCGACCTTTTGGTTAGCAGCCGAGCTCCTAACCAGGACGCCACTAGGGCTCTATTTTGTGTTACTACGCATGTCTAAAAATTGGCAGTATACATTTCAGATTATCTGTTGTCTTCAAACGTCTGCTAAAGATGTCCATCAGTTGGACTGTGAGGGAATGGCCGGCCCCCTGCACCAGTGACCAGCTGATCCCCGGGGCGATCTGGACATGCACATACTCCAGTGCACAGTCTACCCAGTGCAGTGTGTCTGTGCTGGGGGAGAGTGCTTGGTGCTTCAACTCCTTGATGTAAAAGAGTAGCCAAGGATTTTTATTTGGTTTCACTGCTTATCGTTTGTTGTGATTTATTTTGTACCTCATGATTTCCAATTGCTTCACTCACAATTTCTTGTGCTACTTTTGTGTTTTTCATTATTGCATTTTGACTAAACAGTTAAGATGTCCCAAATATCAATGGAAACGATTGATCCATTCCTCTAACATAAATGCAAAAATTGGAATATATTTCTTCTCTAAGTTGGAAAATGAACAAACTAAGAGTAATCATTTAAACATGTACCATAGATAATACCTCTGAACTTAAAGTGCAGAATAAGATATCCTGAAGTATATTCTACTGCAAAAGTACTATGTCTTAGAAATAGTAATTGTTAGTGGAAAACCTTAACAGTCTATTCACCGTGAATTAAGGTAAGTATAACTTATTTTTCATACGCATATATTAAATATATAATTGTACCCCAGTCATATTTCCTCCAACCAAATGAGGCAGCAGCTGGGTGTATCAAATACATATAAAGTTATTAAAGTATTTAACATCATAGACATACATTTTATATTTCTAAGCTAAGGTATGTGACTTCTAAAGCTATATCTAGCATCTCAAATATTTTACTTAAATGTAAATAGCACCAATATTTTGTCAAGAAATGCTGTCTTATATCAAAGAAATACAAAGCCTGATGCAAGTATTTGATTTTTCTCATTTGATACATTGAAGTAATAATGAGGATTTATTCATTTGAACAGAAAAAATACAAGTAATCAAACTACTTTAAAATGCCTCAGTATGTTCTACTGGATTTTTAAGAAGTATGTAGTATGAAATAGACTCACATACAGTATTTAGTCTTTCATGTAGAGATCATAACCAATTTTTTGTTAATTCCATTTATCTCAAAGCCTTGAATTTAGTGTTGTTGTTACTAGGTGCCATCGAGTCAGTTTCGACTCATAGCAACCCCATGTGACAGAGAGAACTGCCCCATAGGCTTTTCTAGCCTGTAATCTTCATGGGAGCAGACCGCCAAGTCTTTCTCCCACAGAGCTGCTGAGTGAGTTTGAATCACCAACCTTTCAGTTGGCAGCCAAGCGCTTAACTGTTGGAAGATTTAGTACAAGGTGTTTATTTCAGCAGTTTCCATCAGTGCGTTCAGATGGCAGTTGTCAGTCTCATAGCACAGTATTCAGGCGCTTGGAAACAAAGCATTGTCGGTCCCTCACATCCCCTGCACCGAGAATGACAGGAACTCACGGCGCCCACTATTGAGCCATGGTCCCTAAACTTCACTTCATATGCCACTTTCATTATTTTTGCCAGACCTAAGTGCCACTTGTACTGTTATCTATTTAATTTTTTAATCTACCATAAGTAGCTTTACAAATTTTCTTGAGTAATAACATCCATAAAATCATGTATCTGATACAGTAGTTATATTTTTTCTGAAATATTAAATATATATTAAAATAAATATATAACTGTTAAAACTATTTCAGTGCTCCTCTGCCAACCACCCTCAGGGTATTCAGCCTTGGGAAGCTGACTCCATTCTTATCCCATAGCTATAAGTATGGCAGTGAGCTGTTACCAGGCCAATGGTGGGAGCCTCGACGGGAGTATGGACAGCTGAGAAAGGTGCACGGATCTGTACGTTTTGACTGCTGGTGCCTTCTCTGTGAAGGGTGACTCCTACAACAATATGAACAGCCCTTTAAGAAATGTATAGAATAGGAGACCCTATAAGACTTAAAAATACACTTATGACCATATTTACACATTTATTACCTTTTTTCTTGAGAAGGAATCCATCAGTTAGCCCAGTCATTTCCTCTTTCACTTTCTGAAAATCTTCAATTATTCTCCAAAGTGTAGCAGCCTGCTGCTCTCTACATCTCCTTATGAAAGGATTTTAACCCTTATCATTTGTGTAAAAACTTGTTGCTTTTGTTCTTTTTCTCCCTTCAGTACCCTCCCCCCCCCATTTATTTACTTCCTCTAGCTATTTAACCCATGTGAAAGTAATAATAAAATAAATGCACGTTTTGTCAAGTCCTCTATTAAAATTTTTACCTAAAATGATAACTGATTTATGGACACTTTTGTCTGTCTTCTTCCTGTTTCCCTTTGTTTACTCCCTCTCTTCTTCTCTTTTCCTTTTCTTCTTTCACACTTTTTCTTACAAGGGGTATGTTCTTTGGCCTTATTGATCTCTAAAAATAAGCAGAAAGTTATTTGTAAATATTAAATTATATATCATTGCAATAAGAAATAATTTACATAGTTCTTTTAAACAATGTCAAGGAACACACATACTGAATGTTTCCTGGAAATCCACCTCTTACTTCAAGTATATAAATATAATTTTTGGGGGGGAAAGCTATTAGAACATTCTTATATCTTAGAAGAACTTCAGTTAAATTCGTTCCTCTCCTGCAGGAGCATTATTCATCTCTGCTTCACTTTAGTGCTTAGCCCACTCTCAACCCTCAGCAACAGTAGCTTTAGAGACTTAGTCCATAGGCAAAGATCAGTTCATTGTGCTGGCTGTAAATTACATTATACAGTGACTGCTCTTTTTCATTTTTGAGTGCTCTTATTTAGTAGTTATTAAGTTTAGTCCCTGTTTAACTCTTCCTTTGAAATTCTAAAGAAAATTCGTTCTACTTGCATTGGAACTTTTTTGCTATAGTGCAAAAAACATGGGCTTTAGAATCACTACCAAGAAATTTCACATACAAGCTCTGCCACGCACTAGCTGTGTGACCTTGACTCAATCTTTCTGAGCTTTAGTTTACTTAATTGCAAATGGAGATAAAAATCAGTGTTAACGATTGCTAATGTTTACTCTGCACTGCCTCTAGGAGGCACAGTAGTAAGTAAGCATTTCATATGCAGTTATTGATGCATGTAATCCTCAGAAGAAGCCCATGGCTGTTGTTAGGAAACTTGCTCAGAGTCAGACAGCAGTAGGGCTAGACTTTGAACCCAAATAATCTACATCTTATGATAACTATACTGCCTCACGTTCTTTGTTACATTTATTATATTATCATATTGCTTTCCTATCCAAATGTGAGCCCATAATAATTTAAGTCAGACTTATTAGAGGGAATATATTCCAGATTCTGTGTGTTCACATTAAAAATGTTTATATGAATATTGGAGATTATTAGCTATTTTGATTTTTAATCAAACCCTTTTCAGATTTTATAGGCCTATGCCTAGTAAGGTTTTCTATATGCTTCTCTTCACCATTCCAAACAAGCTCTTTAGAGGGTATAAAGTAGAACTAGTCTCCCTGGGCCTCAGTTTCTTCATCTGTAAAATAAACACGTTAGAGTCAGTTATCTGTAGGAGCTCCTCCAACTCCAGATTCTCATCTACAAATGTTATAATGTTGTTATTTGTTTAAAGGTCTCCTTTAATTGAATTTGACAGTTAATATCTAACAAAAATATGTTTTCTATAAACAGGCTTTACAGTAGAAAACCTCGGCTTTGTATTTGAGTTACATGGAAATATTCTCTTATCTGGTGGGTTTTTCCAGGTGTGTGTACTTTGAAAAGTACATTTAGTCCACTGATTACTTTTCTAGGCTCGGAGAAAGGTAAGGTTTTACCGTTTCTTTTACCAGATGTAACTACCCGTGAATCTCCAAAGAACGTGATAGAATCATCTGTGGTGAATGGAGATTTAACATCATCAACGAAAGAAAATAGTTTAAGTGCCACACAGCAGGTCCCTGTGCAGCGGAAGAAACTCCTCAAAGCCCCTACACTGGCCGAGCTGGACGGCTCTGACTCTGAGGTAAAATACTATTTTACAGCCCTTGACTCTAAAATGCAGGATGCAACAGCTCTCTGACCCAGTTTACTGATCGTATTAGTATTACTTCAATTGTTACTTAATCTCTTTCTATTTTTCAGTCAATAAAGCTAGGATTAAAATTCATTTGGTTAGCAGGGAATGAAACAATGAATTTGGATTATTTCCTGTTACTTAGCCCAGGCCAATAGTGGCTACAGTTTATAGAATAAATATTAAAATATTGATATTGTCTTATATTATAGTGAGGTTTAAATAAGTAAACAACTTTCAACCTTATATTAAATATTTTCTCCTTGTTTGGGGGAAAGAGAAAAGAAACTCAAGAAAAGCATATTTCTGTAAAGTCTTCTCCCTCTAAAACATACACATACCCTAAGCTTGTTCTTTCTGTAACGGTGGTACTAACAGACCAGCCCCTGAGGGACGGGTCGCCCGAGACCGACATCATGCTTAGTGTCTTAGTTATCTAACGCTGCTGTAACAGAAATACCACAAGTAGATGGCTTTAACAAACTGAAATTTATTTTTTCACTGTTCAGGAGACAAGAAGTCCAAATTCAGAGCACCAGCTCTAGGGGAAGGCTTTGTCTCTGTCGGCTCTGGAGATTCTGAGCTTCTGCTCCGGGGTGATTTTCATGTGTTGGGCATCTCTCTTTCCCCATCTCTGCTTCTCTGGCTTGTTTAATCTCTTTTATATCTCAAAAGATATATAAAAAGATATATACAACAGAACAAAACATTGCCTGGTCCTGCACCATCCTCACAATTGTTGCTGTGCTTGAGTCCATTGTTGCAGCTCTTGTGTCAGTCTATCTCACTGAGGATCTTCCTCTTTTTCACTGACCCTCTACTTTACAAAGCATGATGTCCTTCTCCAGGAATGGTCCCTCCTGGTAACATATCAAAAGTATGTGAGACGAAGTCTCGCCGCCCTCACTTCTAAGGGGCATTCTGGCTGTACTTCTTCCAAGACAAACTTGTTCATTCTTCTGGGAGTCCATGAATATTCAGTTCTTTGCCAACACTGTAATTCAAAGGCATCAGTTATTCTCCAGTCTTCCTTATTCATTATCTAGCTTTCGCATGCATGTGAGGCAATTGAAAATACCATGGCTTGGGTCAGGCACACCTTAGTTCTCAAAGTGACATCTTTGTTTTTTAACACTTTAAAGAGGTCTTTTGCAGCAGATTTTCCCAATGCAGTACGATGTTTGATTTCTTGACTGCTGCTTCCATGGGCGTAGATTGTGGATCCAAGTAAAATGAAATACTTGACAACTTCAATCTTTTCTCCATTTATCATGATGTTGCTTATTGGTCCAGTTGTGAGGTTTTTTGTTTTCTTTATGTTGAGGTGTAATCCATAATGAAGACTGTAGTCTTTGATCTTCATCAATAAGTGCTTCAAGTCCTCTTCACTTTCAGCAAACAAGGTTGTGTCATCTGTATATCACAGGTTGTTAATGAGTCTTCCTCCAATCCTGATGCCATATTCTTCTTCATATAGTCCAGCTTCTCAGATTATTTGCTCGGCATACAGACTGAATAAGTATGGTGAAAGGATATAACCCTGGTGCACACCTTCCCTGATTTTAAACCACGCAGTATCCCCCGTATTCTGTTCGAACTACCGCCTCAGGTTCCACATGAGCACAATTAAGCTTTCTGGAATTCCCGTTCTTCGCAATGTTATCTGTAATTTGTTATGATCCACACAGTTGAATGCCTTTTCATAGTCAATAAATCACAATCAATAAAACATCTTTCTGGTATTTTCTGCTTTCAGTCAAGATCCATCTGACATCAGCAGTGATATCCCTTATTCTGCGTTCCCTTCTGAATCTGGCTTGAATTTAGTAGATGTACTGCTGCAACTGTTTTTGAATTATCTTCAGCAAAATTTTACTTGCGTGCGATGTTAATGAGAACCCTGGTGGTGTAATGGTTAAGAGCTCAGCTGCTAGCCGAAAGGTCTGCAGTTGGAATTCACCTTGAAAACCCTGTGGGGCAGAGGCAATCATTATGAGTCCGAGTTGACTCGATGGCAACAGATTTGGGGGTTTTTTTGGTAATATTAATGGTATTCTATAATTTCCGCATTCCATTTGATCATCTTTCTTTGGAATAGGCACAGATACGGATCTCTTCCAGTCAGTTGTCCAGGTAGCTGTCTTCCAAATTTCTTGGCATAGACGAGTGAGCGCTTCCAGAGTTATATCCATTTGTTGAAACATCTCAGTTGGTATTCCATCAATTCCTGGAGCCTTGTTTTTCACAAATGCCTTCAGTGCAGCTTGGACTTCTTCCTTCAGTACCATTGGTTTTTGATCATGTGCTACCTCCTGAAATAATTGAATGTTGACTATTTCTTTTTGGTATAGTGACTCTGTGTATTACTTCCATCTTCTTTTGATGTTTCCTGCATCATTCAATATTTTGCCCATAGAATCCTTCACTATTGAAACTCGAGGCTTGAAGTTTTTCTTCACTTCTTTCAGCTTGAGAAATGCTGACAGCGTTCTTCCCTTTGGTTTTCTAACTCCAGGTCTTTGCACATCTCATTATAATACTTTACTTTGTCTTCTGGAGCCGCCCTTTGAAATCTTCTGTTCAGCTCTTTTACTTCATCATCTCCTCTGTTCACTTTAGCTACGTTCAAGAGCAAGTTTCAGAGTCTTCTGACATCCGTTTTGGTCTTTTCTTTCTTTTCCTGTCTTTTTAATGACATTTTACTTTCTTCATGTATGATGTCCTTGATGTCATCCCACAACTTGTCTGGTCTTCGGTCATTAGTGTTCAGTGCATCAAATCTATTCTTAAGATGGTCTCTGAATCAGGTGGATATACTCAAGGTTGTACTTTGGCTCTCGTGGACTTGTTTTAATTTTCTTAAGCTTCAACTTCAGCTTGCTTATGAGCAGTTGGTGGTCTGTCCTTCTGTCAGCCCCTGGCCTTGTTCTGACTGATGACATTGAGCTTCTCCATCATCTCTTTCCACAGATGTAGTTGATCTGATTCCTGTGTATTCCATCTGGTGAGGTCCACCTGTATAGTTGCTGTTTAAGTTGTTGAAAAAAGGTATTTCTAATGAAGAAGTCTTTCATTTTGCAAAATTCTGTCATGCAGTCTCCGGTGTCGTTTCTGTACCCAAGGCCACATTTTCCAACTACCGATCCTGGATCCTTCTTTGTTTCCTACTGTTGCATTCCAATCACCAGTAATTATCGTGAGGAATTACCAGTAATTATCTATCACAGTAGAGACCAAATAAAAAAGAAAAGATTGGATGTATTATTTTCTTCTTTCGTCTCTATTTTATTACCTACCTCCCCTTTTTCCTCTTTCCTTCTCATTTAATGAATGCCTTCTAACTTTTTTTTAAAACTCTTTCTTCAAACCAAACTATGCAGAAGTCATCTTTCAGTACCTCCCTTAAGGCCTCATGGAGCAATTTGAGATTTCTTTTTGATTCTAAGAGGACATGTTCTACGACAAAGTTGGAGCACCGATGCTAACACTGAATTTCGTACTGTTAGAAGCACCCTGCCTCTGCCACCTCTTGAACTGCCCTCTTTTCACCCCTTGTACTGAAGCCCTTGAACTGTTAGAGAGGTCAGAACTGGTCCTAGCAGAACCTGTCATAGAGTTTGATTTTCCCTTGGGGGAAAAGCAGTGATTCTTCTAGCTACCAAATGAGCAGATCATTCAGTCCTGGTATAGGAAGTGCTGTTATGCTGATGTCAGTTATTTTCATTAACTTATCAGACTCTTCCCATCAGATAGATATATATTTTTTATTACATTTTAAGAAATAGCTTTCAACCACCAAAGTACCTGCTATGTGATAAACCCTTTCAAACATGGTCTTATTTAATCTCATTTTCTATAGAGCCTTTTTATTATTTTAAGAGATGCCTTCTGCCCTTCCAGGGTATCACCTGTATTCACTTAGGCAGACATTTTTCATATTTTTCCACCAGAACAACCTCCTACTACCCATTGCTGTCTTTGAGATTTGACTTAAATTCAGGTCCAGAGTATAAATTTTCACAAAGATCTTTTTACTGTTTAAATAACCCCTGTTTAGTTCTGAATTTTCCTATAATCAGTTAATACATAGTGTAGATAAAATATTATGACATAGAATGATATTAATGGATTATTTGCATTATCAATGATAAATTCATTTGCTTTTTGAAGAAACGGAAAAACTCCTTTTTAACCATTTTAAGAACTGTGAAACAGATTTGCCTTTTAATTTTTTAATGCCATAGTTCGTGGTTTCATCAGAGAAATGGATTTTCCCCTTTTGAACTTCAGTTGCAAAACTAACAAACTGATTTTTTTCTCTTAGACTTACCAATAGCTTTGTATATTTAAACTTGTAATCATAATAGACGTAAACTGCAAGCTGGAATTGAAAGCTTCTAGTTGTTAAACTTGGCCATTTATAGTGACCCAGAAACATTACTCCTCTTTTTAGGCCTTAGAAATAGGTTATTTAATCTGCCATTTTGCAAGAACTAGCATTACCCCACTTTTTTACCTAACAAAATATCATGAGCATTTTCCATTTGATTAAATAGCCTTTTCCAACATGATGCCTAATATATGTGTGGTATTCCATCATAGTAATGTACCAGATTTTATTTAACCAGTTCCCTATTCTTGAACATTTATGTTGTTTCCAGTTTTCTACCATTATAAGTAACAATACTGTTGTGAATATTCTTATGGTTCATTTTTGTTCACACTTTGAATTACTTCTCATAATATATTTCTAGAAGTGCATTTGCTAGGTAAAAGAGTATACATTTTTATAGGTCACACAACTTTTTAGTAGCAGCACCCCTATTAAACTAGACCCCGCAATGCTAGACCTTTTTTTCATTACTCCATTTTTCTCTTCCTGGAAGCCTGCTTCAATCTTTCTGTCTTATCCTTGATAACCTTTACTAGACTATCTCAAGTTATTTTTT